GCACATCTGGGGCGAGCGTCTCGGGAACAGCGGGGCAACATAGTCACAAAGACAGGAGACACTCACAGGGCTTTGGAGACCCACAGAAAGCCTGTAGCTTGCTTCACAAGGACTCCACTCCGGGCGCGGGCTTGGGCAGGGCCCTTTCCAGAACTGCTGTGTTCAAAGCCATAAACCTTTCCTATAACGGCACTCTCCGCTGGCCATGGCTCCGTTTCCGCTGAGGAACGCAGCTACGTGAACCTGTGCCCCTGTGCCTCTGTGACCCGTTGGCCTCACCGGTGTCCAAGAAGGTCTGGGGACCAGTGTCCCTCCGTGTCCGGGTTCTGGGCCCCGGGGATGGGATCCTCTCTTCTCAGGACAGCGGTATCCTTCGCTCTTTCTGGAATCTGCGCTTTCCGTTCACTCAGCTGGCTGTGCAGTTCCCGAGCTCTGTCTTACCCTCTCACGTCAGATCCTTGCCCTGGACATGTTGGGTCCGACTGCAGCCGTTTACTGGAAGTATGTGGGCTCCTGCAGTTAAGTGACTTCCTGTAGAAATGGTTCACTTCCAAGCACGTCACCCAGCTCCCGGGAAAAGGCTCCTTCTTCCGCCATCGCCCAGGGCTGAGAAAACGAGCATCAGGCAGAAGAAGGGCCCGGCGGGGCTCTCCCGTCCTCCCTCACCGGCTTCCGCGGACAGCTTTCCCACACTGCGGCAGTCTCCAAAGCAACACAACCCCGTGGCGTGCCGGGCCGCAAGAATTACCTAAGAGAAAACATCTGAAGACTGGAGCGGCCTTGGGGCAAGCGGGAAAACAAACAGTTCCAGGAAAAGCCCGCTGCACCGAACTGCTGAGCTCTGAGCAGCCCACCTGGTATGGTCCTCATTACTGAACAGCAGACAGGTTGCACGGTCAGCCAAGAGCTGTGGCGTTAAAATCTGTGCCATCTACAGATCATAAAACCTTTTATCCGCCATTCCGAGCTCGTGAGGAGCAGGACTTAGCCAGAAGAGATGTGGCAATTTATACTAGAGATACTCCAATTTCCACGGACGGTATGGGCGCCTTGTGAATTATATTGTCAAAGCACTCCTAGAAGGGAGACGTGGATCGACAACTGGTGGTCAACTTCCAACACCCAGGAGAACTGAGCCAGAGCAGTGCTGAGTGTGGCAGCCCACCTGAGGACTGCTGCCAGCAGCATGAGAGGCAGAACTGGAGAGGAAGAAGAGGAGAGGCTGTTGAGAGCTGAGAGAAGCTGTTGGGAGCTGTTAGAAGCGGTAAGGAGCTGTTGGTTCTCCTGGAGGAGCTCCTCATGCAGGCTTTCCTGATGAACTCAGCTGTTCTCACCGTCCAAGGAGCTTGGGACCTTGTTGTCACTGAGAATGGCTTCAGTTCACTTTGGGGGAGCTCTGGTCCTCACTTTGAGCATCATTTCCTGGCTCTGGAGGGGAAAGATGGTGCATTCCTGTCTCCTAGAGAGCTTGTTGCGTTGGCTTTCCTGATGGGAACTTGCTTTCCTCATTGTCAGAGGAGCTCGGGACCTCACTGTTGCTGAGAATGGCTGTGGTACCTTTTAGGGGAGCTCTGGTTCTTACTTTGAGCTTCGCTTCCTGGCTCCAGTGCAGATCCTTCAGCCTGTTAACACAGATCCTTCAACCGCTGGCACAGGCTTCCTAGATTCCACCACTGACCTTTGGGCCTTCCAGTGTAGATTCATGAAGCAGGCCTGCATGAGACCTTGTCGTGGGCTCTTGGCCTCCAGCTGGATTCATGGGAGGCATTGTTATGGGCTCTAGGACTTCAGCTGGGCTCATGCAGGACATTACCGTGGGATCCAAGTCCTCAGCTGGATTCTTGATCTCTAGTGTGTGGACAAATTTCCTGCACTCTCTTGTCTATGATTCTTTGGGTGACTATTATAAATAATCTTATAAAACATGTGTCCTGTATTGTATCGTTCCCCTTGTGAACCCTGACCACAACAGGAGACGAAGGGCAATGTCTCGGAAACAGTGACCTCCACATTCCACATTTCTCGGGCTGTGGCACTGTGGCACTACACCGAGAGGCAGCTTTAGCTCTGTGAGGTACAAGTCTCCCCACAATGCTGTTTTTAAAGCAACAAATCACAATGAATGTAATTTGGAGACTCTCGAGACCCCTTTCGCATCTACAGTGGATCATTTCTAGGACGTGACCACACCAAGAAAGGGAGGGAGGATGTGGGGAAGACCTAATTCGCCTACTCGGGTGCTGGAAGCCGGAACTCGCCCTGTCTGCACCGGCCTGGCATGGAGCTGAAGGCACCTGATCAGTGCCCACGCTCAGGTGGGAACAGCCTGGCATCCGCGCTCTCCACAGTGACGACTGTAACAGGGCTTCTGAGACAATACTCGGAGGCTGAAAGCTTCTTCCCTCTGTGGGAGGAAGGTGCCTTCCCCGTGACACCGCGCTGGGGAACCCAGCACCTGAGCTGCCCGCTCAGGATAGGACACAGTGCACCCGCTCTTGTTAAGATGATGGAGCTCGAAATCATTTCACTAAACTCGGCTCCAAGAGACTGCCTAATCCACTCCATAACTGCAGCCTTTTAAGAACAAACTCGGAATGGCGTGCCTGCAGCCAGCCGGTACTTTCAATTTTAATCACCCGTGCTGAAGTACACAGCATCACAGGCACCGTGGGCATGCGGGCCACCTCGGCCCTTCTACGCCGCTCCGTCCTCGGTCCCCTCCCTTCTGCAAAGGAGCCAGCTCCCTGTTTCCTACTCTCTCTACCTTTCACACTCTTTAGGAATAAAATAAGTCCCAAGCAGCGGCGAAGGTCTGAGGAGCAGGTCGCGCAGCCAAGGCCCTGGGTTCCGTGCTGTGCCCCTGTGGGAACCCTGCTGGGGCCAGCGCGGCATCGAGCGCCTGTCCCAGGCCCAGGGCCATGCCGGGCTTTTCCAGTGCCCAGGTGCAGGTGGCTCAGGAGGACAACAGAAAGGAAAATCAGCTTCTACTACGTCTTCATGGCACCCCTCGGCCTACCCAGATGCAAAGGGGGTCAGGTGGGCCTCGGTGTCCCTGCTGGCGCAGGTGGGCCACAGTGTGCCCCGCAGAGAAGGCGCCTGGATAACTGTGAATGAATGCACCAAGCCCTACTCCAACACCAAAGAGTCCCGGACATGGCCCCGGGGCCATGGTGCTCGGCACCCCATGGGTCCTCACCCACTCCGAGTGGAAGAGCTCTGAGCTCTGGGTCAGTCTCCCTCACCCGGAGAGCTAGAGAAGTCTCCCATGCTTTGATGGGTGAGTGGACTTTTGGGCGAAAGCCAACTGAACTGGGATAAAGAAACATACAAGAAGCGGGAGCTGGTGGCACACACCCGTAATTCCCAGAATTCTAAGAGTCCTGAGGGCAGGACTGGAAATTTGAGCCCCGCCTTGGGAACTTAGCAAGATGCTATCTCAGAATTTTAAAACAGAGAGAGAAGGGTTGGGTCTATAGCTCAGAGCAAAGGACCTGGGTTCAATCCCCAGTGCCACAAAAAAGAAAAAAAAAACAAACTATAAATAAGCTCTGGGTAAGACTGAGGACTCTTCCAAGTCTTCCAAGGTGCAGCCAGGGCGGTGGGGGACCTGCTCCCCAGCACTGAGACACAGACTCTATCGGCCCCTGGAAACCCTGGGGTTTTACCGGCTACAAGATAAACAGTGGCACAGACAGGGCCCCAGTCTCCTGCTTGTTGACGCGGCAGAGGCCGGTGTGCCATGGTTTGAAAGGTTTGTCAGCTCCGGGTCCTCATGTGAGACGAGGACTTCCTCTACTTCAAACTCACTCTGGAAAAGACACACTGAAACTAGCCAGAGGAAGCCCCAAGGAGGAGAACCAACATATGAAGGCGAAGGGCAGTTGATAAAGAAAGCTACCGGCCCAACATGGGGAATCCCAGCACCCTGGGAGGCTGAGGCAGGAGGACCGCAAGTTCCAGCCCAGCCTGGCCAACTTAATGACTTCGAAAGGCCCTGAATCCCAGAGTCTCAATAAAAAGCAAACTAAAAGACAGATGATAAAAGAAAGGAGGCCGCTCTTCTTCTGATGGGAAGGGGACCAAGAGATGGAGGAAAGGGAAGGGGAAGAGAAAAGGAACTGGGGTGTGCTCTGTGCATGCACCAGCTCCCCACAGGGAGTGTACGCATTGTGTACCATGCACATAGACTCATAAAGATGAAAAGTAAATAAATGGAGCGGGGGCCGGAGCTCAGCGCAAAGGCCCTGGCTCCAGTCCCCAGCACTGCAAAAAGGACAGGAAATGGGGAGGGAGAAGGGCCCACGGGTAGGGCTGGTGCTCCATCCTTCCCAATACAGCAGGTCTCCACGGTAACCCAGGAAGCACTGGGTCCCTACTCGGCCCAGTGGGTAGAGATGCCTGTGTCCAGCCAGCTGAAACACAAAGACCCAGCCTGCCTTCCAGAGAAAGTGACCTTTACCTACACCCCTGGTCCTGAAATGAGAAGCCTGCTTACAAACAAATACATAACATTTTACACTTGGGAAGCAGCAAATACCTACCATTTTTCCAGGTAAATCTAGCGAGCATGCGATTCATGAAAAGTTGTTTTAAAACGCTAATTTGAATAGAAACCCCTCACGTTTAACAGAAACTTTTTTTATTCAAAAAATGCCCAATTTAGTTCTTATCCATCAACCCCAGAAAGAATGACTGACTCAAAAGATTTTTCTAGGTTATTCCTCAAAGAGTCGAAAAGAGCAAACAACCCAAACCCTTTTCTTGGGGTTTGCTGCCACTAAGTGTTGTGGTCTCCGGGGAGTGGTCAGTACAATAATGGGCTCTCAATTCCACCCAGCCCGCTTGAGCTTCCCCTGCACTGCCGGGGGAAATCACCGCGCCGGGCGTGAGGCGTCAGGGGATCGCAGTCCCTGGCTCGCTGTCATGGGTCCGATTCTGGAGCTGTCTGGGACGAAGGCGAGTCAGAAGGAGCGGCTGCGACTGCAGGTCTGATCGCTTACCTTTTGTCCTTTCACTCCGTGGCAGTCACATTTTCCACAACCACCAGAGCCGTCGCACCCACCCTGGAAGTAAAGAAAAGAGAGTTAAGCAGGAGGACACTTCCAAGTCAGCGCGTCGTCCCCTCCCGGCCTGACCCGGCGGTGCTGCCCCTCATCAGGAGCAGGACCTCCAGATCCAGCTGTGCGGGTGGGGGGCATGCACATCGCTCTTGCTGGAAATACAGACCAGCAGTCCTTGAGCAGAACAAGTCAAATCCGACTTAGTCCGAAATGCGAAGGCAATCACCTCCGCCTGTGGTCCCTGTCGGTTTCCACTGGAAACGGACCTGCCCAGGGACACTTTCACAGTGTCTGCGAAGCCACGAAAGCGTGGTGGTTCTGACTTAGGACTTTCAGACCTCAGGCCTCAGGACACCGAGGGCTTCCTGGGGGGTCTGTGCCTGGCCCTCGGGCTCCCAGAGACATCCAGACCCGCCAAACACACAGTGCAGAGAGAGAATAAATGAACAAACTGAGTTTTAAGCCCAAATTTATAGACCTGATTTTTTTAATCCAGTGAAAGTTTGACTGTTCATTCAGAGAACACTCAACGGACTGCCTTGTGGCTCATTCTTATTCTAAAATTTAATGTTAAAATGCAAGGGAAAGGCCCCCAACATTTGGTAACTGCCGGGCAGCACAAGCACTGTGTGCTCAAACACGCCTAGCAGCACAAGCAGCAAGCGATCACCTCGTTCAACAAGCGGAACAGCTCAGCGCCCCGCATCCCAGGAAAGAAGACGGGGTCAGGACGCTTAAAGCCACGTGCTGCGCCCCAGTGCCACCTCCATCAGCTAAAGCAGCCAGTGCCTTGGAAGACAAAGGAGGGACCCTGCCCGCACACACCCGCCATCCCCTTGCGAAGACCAAGTTTCAAACCATTGCAGTCGGGTAAAGAGGTAGTGGTGAGACTGTCCCGAAGGGTATGACAGGGACAATTTGGTGAATACGCTTTGTTAGCGGCGCTCCTTCACTACGGACGTGGAAGTCCCACCTATCTTCTGCCTCAGGCGATAACAGTTTCTTGAACATCAAATCATGCCATTAATAGCTGGTGCTCATGTGAAAACTGTATTTCTAACAGCAGGCTCGGGCCCAAGCTCCCTTCCCATGGCGATGTTCTCCATCCAACCAGCACATCTGGAGATGCTTATTTCGTGAGTGTACATCTGTACAAGTGCCTCCGAGACAGGGAGCTGTTCTTGATTTTACATTTTGGAAACGGGGACAATTGACAACGGTTCAAGCAAGCTGCACTGATCAGGGATTTGTTCCCTGCTCTGACTCACCATTTAGCAACTGTGTTCACTCTACCCTCCCGTAACCCCCGGCATGGGAGCCACTCCATGACCACAGCGTGGCTCCCACACGGGACGCTGGTGACCGCTCGGGGTCACCCAAAGAGAGGACCCGGTGCTGCAAGAGCACCTCCAAAATAAACATTGTATACACCAGACCCGCCCGCCTCACTGTCACACTCTGGGTCCACCCGGGGCCCCATGACATGTTGGCCATGGGACTCTTGTGGGTCTTCCGAGTACCCCTGGTGAACCCCGAGCCTTCCGGGGCAGCCCGGAGCCTAGCACTGAGCCTGCCTGAGGTTGAACTTCAGCTGTGATTGTGTGAGTCGTAAAACCCACACACAGAAGGAAAGACCGGTCCTGTGCGCGATGACCCCGCCCGGCCCACGCGCTCTTATTCACTAAAGCATGCACCTTAGCATCGGTGGGGGTGAACGGCACCCAGCTGCTGCCCTCTCGGTGGCGGAAGTGCGAGTGGTGCCCGCTGAACTGAGCAGAAATGACAGCAGTCCATGTGCCCGGCTGCTCACAGAGCACGGGCTCTGGCACAGGGGAAACGTCCCCAGACGGGACAGAGCTCCGCGGCAGGACACAGCACAGCCGCGGATGGGATGGGGAGCTGGAGTTGCCTGGCGGGTGACCAGTTAGCCACGGTGATAACCAGCACCAACTAGCTGAGTGCCCAGACTGAGAACCCAGCAGGGGAGGTAGCTGGAGGCCCGCGGCTTGGGGGCTGTGCACAGGAGGACCTTGCCCCCCAACCTGCCGCGCTACACCTGCCCCTCACCCCGCACCTCCCCGCTGCGACCCCGCGTCCGACCCACATCCACGGGCAGGGAAACCCCGGGCGGAGCCCGCTTATCTACGGGACACGGAAATGCCGCCCACGCCCACACCCTGGGCAGACGCCAAGCAGGCTTTCTGCTGGGAGTCGCCTGTGGCCGCGCTGCCACTCTGGATGGCGTGGCGGAGGATCAGAGAAACGAAGCTGGAAACGCAGGGTGGGGGCCCGGGGTCTCCTCCCCCAAAACGCTGATACGATCTCAGGAGCTTATCGATACTCAATTTCAAGGAGGCTATAGATCGGGATTTCCTGGAACTATCCCCACAAGCTGCCGGTGAACGCCCTGGGCCCGGGGACCCCACAACAGAGGCCCCAGCTCATGATAGACGCCGACTCAGGGCTTTCCTGGAGCTGCGGGGACAGAGACACTACCGCGGGCAGGCAGCACATGGGCAGTCTGCCCAGCGCCACTAGGCAGGCCTCCGGAGACTCGGGAAAAGCTGGACGCGCTGGTGCACGCCTGTAGTCCAGCACTCTGGGAGGCTGAGGCAGAAGGATCACCAAGTTTGAGCCCTGCCTGTGCAATTTAGCAACTCGGTGAGACCCTGTCTCAAAATAAACAATTGTTTGAAAGGCGGGGAATGGGGGCTGGGGATTTAGCTCAGCGGCAAAAGCGCCTGCCTGGCATGCGCAAGGTCATGAGTTCAGTTCCCGGTACCGGAGAAAAACCAAAAAAAAAAAAAAAAAAAAGGCTAGGAATGTAGTTTAATGTGAAGGCCCTGTGTTCAATCCCTAGTACCACAAAACGATAATGATGATAATAATAATAATAAAAGAAACTGGAAAATCTGAGATGGGAAACAAAGGCCCTAGAGCCGTCCGCGGGCCTCACCCCACCAGCCTGGACTATATATCACACAAAAATGTTTTTAAGACGTTGACAGATCTAACCAGATCTTTATAGCTTTATTCACAGAGGACAGTTTTATCTTCTTTACTCATATACCAAATTTTATTACCAATTGTGGCTCTAGGAGGTAATTTTTAAGATTTGATAATTCTAACAAATTATCTCAATTATGATCAGTTTTTCAGAGCCAAAAGAAGACGTTTGTAGGACCATATTTTTTGTGTCACATTCTGGGTGGGCTGGCATCTTGTAGAAATGGTTTTACTAGAAACAACTACTAATTTTCAGAATGATGGACAAAAGCCAGCAGATGCCTTGCTTGGTGAAACACAGTCTATTTGGGGGGGCCACCGCTCCTGGCTGTCTGACCTCCCCTGCATGACGGGCTGCACCCTGACACTCAGGTGTGGCAACAGATGGCACTGTCCTGAGAAGACACGACACCCAATGGGCTGTCATGAGCCGCTCCATTTCCTGAGCAGCTACGTTTTACATCCGGGCCCCTCAGCAAAATCAGCAAAACCAAAAGCTATGTGCAGTTTGTGGGGTGCCCCTGATCTGCCCCTGGGAGTTAGCACTGCGCCTCCTTCTCCTGTCCAGGACCTGTGGGCTGCTCCCAGGCCTCCACCATGGCCTGGCGACCTCAGCCGCAGCGCCAGTGCACGCAGGAAGGGCTCCTTCCTTCTCCTTCCCTGTCCCTCCCGCATGGCGTCCAGGGTCAGGCAGATTAGCTCTGTCCCAGGCTTCCTTCCCACAAGAGACACTTAACCCCAGTGGCCAGGCTGGGCAGAGGGCAGGCAGGCCGGAAGCACTCTTGAAAGCTAAGGAATGTGGCCGCAAGACCTCAGAGGACAAGCCAGGAGTGGCTCTTGGTGTCACTCACAGGAGCCGACCGCCATGGGCAAGGGGAAGGGAGACCCACCGAAGGCTCCCAGCAGAGACAGCACTTGCGACAGCAGGACCGTTCACCGCGTCCCTTAGTAAAGAACACACAGCCTGAAACCCTACCGGGAGTGTGCAAAGTTGCCCCCAAATGGAAGACGAACCAAATTAAGAAAGGCAAACATATTGGTTCCCAGCGCAGTCTCACACACACACACACATACACACACACATACACAGCCCTTCAATAGCAGAGACCAACTTTAAAGAAAAACAAAAGGACAATATGAAAGGAATGCCAAGGGTTCTGCGGAGTAATCCCACACCAGCCCCCTCTGCACTCCCCGAGAGCCTCTCCAGAGCTTTCTGGAGAAGCTGACGCCATCCATATTATTCAAACTTGCTCTCATGCTCCATTAAGATTTCCAAAGAGCAGAACCATCTGCATTCATGTTATAAAGTATGTTAAGTTCTAAAAATACGACTCGACTTTACAATACGCGGGCCTCGGGCCAGAGCAGGAAGGGGAGGGACGGGGTCAATGACTTGACACGGAATGCACCCATTTCCCGGCCGCGGTGATTCAAGGATCTCAGGAAGCGCTCTCTGCGCCACAGTGGACCCACAAGACCAGAACACCGGCTTCAGAGCCAGCAAGGCCTTCTACCAACTACTTCGGGCACCAGTTGCCACGCCACTGTGTGTGCAGGCACGAGGTCACTGCCATACCGAGCCGCCGGCGGTGGCCACCCCAGCACACACACAAGTCTGGGTCGCGGGAACAGGGTGAGGTCCTCCATCTGCTGGTGGCGCCCCCTGCTTCCAATGGAAGATGGGCCTTTCCCGATTCCTGTGTGCCTCACATCCCACCAAATAGGGACATGTGGAGCCCTGCCAAGTCGAAACAGCTTATCTTTCAAATTCCTCCCCACATTCCCTAAGCTGTGCACAATGTCAAAACAGTTCGGGGATACTGCTGGCCTGATGGTCCTCCTGTCCAGCACTTCCTCAGGGGCCTTTCGCACAACTATCTATGCAGCTAGCGAAACCTGTGGACAGGAAGAATGTGTTTTAGGGTTACCAGGGCAGAATTAACAGTGTGCGGAGCCCGAGGGTGCGTGGTACACGTGGCCTCCAGCACTGCAGG